TGCGTTATTTCAACATCAAAAATTAGTTTTTCATTAATCTTAGAAATCGCATTTTTTGAGTAATTCTTCGCAAGTGACACAGATGAAGTCCAACAGTTGGTACACGGCACACATGTTGACATACAGACTCACATAAATACAAGCCATGAAACTTGGACAGCTACAGCTTCTGTTTTTGTTATTTAGTGTGACCCTAGTTGTTAGTTAATATCACTATATTTGTACCTTATAACCATCCTAACATTGCTATAAGTCATAGGATAAATAATGTATCACGTGCATCTTGATTTATTGTGAGAAATTCGTATTATTTCGCTGGACTTGCCTGTTCATCATCTGTATTTCAGATTTTTAACTACATCAGTTTTAAATTATGACTTTGAAAATAGAGCCGCTATTACTATAGACATAAAGATTCGGCTTTTTTTCATATTAATTATTAATCTTGAAAAACATCAAAGGTAAAACTTTAATTTAGTTCCAGTAATCCATCTCACCAGCGTCCATCCTGTGGCTAATTTGAAAGTGTCATTAATCAAGAAAACTCTCTAATCTGATTGAAAGGCTCGAATCCATCTGACCTGTAGCGCCACCAGGCGTAATTCTCCACCACCTCCTTGTCTCGGCCTGGCAAAATTGGCCAATCGATGACAGCGAAATTCCTATAATTTAGCTTTTATGAGCGCTAATCATCTGTTCTTAGGGCCCCGCGGCAGTCAAAAGATAAGCGTTCGGAATTTAGTCTAAAATGTCATTTCCAGTTCCAGCTTCGCGCCAGGGGCCGTGTTCATCGGGTCTGTTGGGGTGGGGAGAGCAGGAGCGGTCTATGAAACTGCGTATTGTCTCTAGTTGTCTAATCTTTTTTTTTTTTTTTCTTTTTTGATCATTTACTATTACGTTTTTAATAGTGCGTGTTTTCAAAAATGGTCCGTCTAGCAGGAGCGGTCTATGAAACTGCGTATTGTCTCTAGTTGTCTAATCTTTTTTTTTTTTTCTTTTTTGATCATTTACTATTACGTTTTTAATAGTGCGTGTTTTCAAAAATGGTCCGTCCGTCATGTTCTGTTTATGAATGTACAAAATGTATGTTTGTTAGATTGGTACATCTGTACTTAGTGAAGGTTACACGCATATAGCACTCCCAACAGAGTTAAGCTTGAAAAATATATTTTGTTATAATCATTGCTCTCAGTGCGTGCCACTTGATTCCAGCTCTTTTCAACTCTCTTTCTAAACTCATTCGGAAGTCTTGCTGCATGGTGGATCCTAAGCTGAGTGCATTCTTGTCAAATAAAGTTTCTGATTATTTCCTTCTTTTACTGCACTTTTTTCTTTTTTTTTCACCTGGTTGCATCTTTTTTCCTCGTTCTTTCAAGTCATTGACAAGCTCTCTATGAAGATCGAAATCTTGACTAATAACTTTGATATAAAGTTAAGGATGCGTCCAATGCTTGGCTTCCCGGGTAGAGTGAGGACTTATCACTTAGCATGTTGGTAATGTGTTACTGTATCCTCAGTTTCGGATGTTATTGTTGACGACATGCAAAGAGATATTTTAACATAAACCGCCTTAGTTCTCTTATTATGTTGAAGCACAAATGTATATTATGCAGTATGGTCAGTATGGGGTTAATCGCATTCTACTTTTAGAATAGCGGAACTCTTTGAACGCACCCTCTCTCTCTCTCTCTTCTCTATCTGCTTCTTTCTCTCTATACATTCTATATCCTTAATCAACCCTCCCCCCTTCCTTCGTCACTGGCAGTTCCATAACGCTACAAACGATAAGCAACAATGTATCGCTTTCGTTGCGCAAACGTCTATCGCCGTCTGTGATTTAGCGAAACAACTTATGAAATTAGTGGGCCAGCGTAGTTATGACTAGGAACACTTGATGAAAAGTAGAGCTCTTGAGGGGAGCGGAAATTACTCTGCGGCGTGTTAGACGGCGAGCGGACTTTTTACAAACATATATATTTTTTAATGGCATTTCGCTGCCGTGTTATTTATTTATAAATTAATCATTAAATCTCCTACACTTCTTCAAATTACACCCCCTCCCCTCATATTACACCCCTTCAAGCACATTATACCCCTCCCTTCACATTACATCCCTCCCCCCCCCCACACATACACAACACGGTCTGCAGTCTTTCTCTATGTCCGATATTTCCTCTCCACTTCATGTTGTCTCCTCCTGTCCCGGGGAAAAAAACAACTTTTTTTAGACCCATTTTTTTACTACCTTAGTGCGCTACTCATGTAACCATTCTTTGAGCGTATGCCGAAACTGCACAATAAAGCGGTAGTATTTTTTTATGGCTACGTCCTAGACTCCCGTTGGCTCGGGCATGAAATATGTATGTCAGAGAGTCTTGTGGTTGAAGTGTAGTTTTACACTCTGCACACAACAGTTTAGTAGCTTAAAGTGTGGCTTGCACTTTGATAAAGAGATTTGTCCCAGAATATATCCTGAAACTCACTCTAAGTCCCAGCGTTACTCCAGCCCAGGATGTCACAGTCAGGGAGTATTGGTTAGTCCGGGAGTGATCTCGTTTCAAATTCATTTCCTCCCTCAATGTACCATGTGGATGTACGTTGTTATATAGGTGTGGTTATTTCGGGATAAAATAGTAATGTATCGCTAGCTTCGCTTTCCCTCGCATTTTTACTCCAACTAACACACAAAGAAAGAAAATTAAACTAAAAATAACACATTTCAGCAGTTATTCGTGTAGCTACCGACAAGTTCGCATGTAGAAAAAAATGGGTCCCGTCCTACGTTTCCTGCAACTTGATACACTGTTCGAGCCCGATGTGCAGCATCTCACCTGAAAGGTGTGTGTACTCTGGACCGCCTAACAAAGACCGCTAGCTATGAAGTTTCATGTGATCCTGATACTCAGTTCCCCACTTCCAATCCTGACACTATTGTTGTCCTTGACGTCCCCGGATGCCTACCCGAGCGCGGCTCTCCGACACGGTCTGCTGCTCCAATCTGAGTTTGGGTGGGTGCCGGCTTGATTTCACCCCCTCGCTGCTAGCATTAATGGATAATGTCATAACAGCAAGCTTTACTCCTCTCTTATCGCAAGATTCTCATCTGGGTGATTTTCCGCTAGGCGTTTTGCTGGAATTTGTTCCCCGTCTTTGAACCTGTGTCTTTGGTTCAGTCGTGGCCTTATTGCGGGGAGGCTTATAAACTAGGTCCTAGGGTAACCATACTTCCTGGAAGAATAGTGTGCAGAAGGCTATGAAGTGTGCAGGTGTCTGGGTCAACGACTCTTTCGTTACAATGCAAATCTACAAGTCCCAGTGTTTCCATTTCTGTGACGCTGGTTTTTTTTTTGTATGTTTTTTTTAATACGGAACAAGAATGGTGTCAGATAATCGGATTAGAGCCGGACGTTATGTTGACAAAATGCACGGGTCCTATTCAATCTGTCAACGGTAATAAGGCTTGCTTTACAAATCTGTCTGGCACATAATACGTGACTTCATGTCAAGCAGAATTTGGAATAGCGGGTTGATATTATCATTAGCTGTCCTTGCGGGTTTTAGTGGAGAAGACTTTACCTAAACACAATTGTGTAACACTGAGCTATCTATGCAATGTTTTTGGGGTGTTTTGAAATCAAGCAAAAAAGGATAACAATACTAAGACTTTTAAGAAGTAAGATAAGATATATAAGAACGCAGAAGGCTAACAATTTGATATGAAAGTTTGATAGCCGAGTAGGCTGCACGTATTGTTCTGTAAGAATTTCTTTCCTTGTATACAGCATTTGTAGTTTGACCATTACTGTTAGATACCAATCCAGTAGTCTCTCTGCGTCAATCATTTTGACTTAATGTACATAATTGGATTAGAACAACATTAAAAATCATAGAGAGGTCAAGCTCTGAAACTTCTTACAGTCTTCACTGGATCAGTTATTATAGCTGGACTTATTACTACGGTAAGCTTACATCGAGTGACATGGTATTCTGTCGTCATAAATCAGTTCTATATGGGAAGCTAGACAGAGATAAAAATGTAGCTTTGGAATTTTGAGAATGATTTAGAGCTGTTACAAAGTGAAGACATCCCGAGATTAAAAGTGAAAATGCTGCCATATTTTAGTGTGTAATTATTGAGGTCTCATTCAGACCAATGTTGATTATATTCTCAACACGGGTCATTTGCTAGAAGATCAAATCTCAAATTTATTGCTGTGAAGTTGTTTAACACGCAGTCGCCTAGCCGAAAAGCTTATGAATGAAGCCCCGTTTAAAAGCACTTTGTTCCGAACTATGAGCATTTTAGTTCTGGTTTGTTGCAGGTGAATGTGTTCATGACTCCAGGCGACACCGGGCTCGGCTCAGTGCTGGGACTGCGGTGAAAGAAAGCAGGCCGATACTTTGTGTCATCTTAGTGCTATGGTCGATCGAGGTTTATAGTGGAAACCTGAAGACTCTAAGCAAGGGCTCTTCCTAAGACTAAGGGTGTTTTCTTTTTTTGGCCTTCCTCTCAACGCGTCTATGTATTTTGGTGTAGGCTCAGCCGGTTCCTTGCATTTGTTTGGGTATTGTCCCCACAATTATATCAATCACATCTAACGCCTTTCAGATTAGACCTTTGCATACTGCTCATGAAAAGGCCGTCGGGGACCAAAAGCTAAGGAATGAATAGCACCATTATTACTTTCGCGTCTGGCTAAGGCCCGGTGGGAAATGGACACCGCTATTTGATTGACAAGCAAACGAGAATGATTGATGCGTATTCCCACAGCGCGGGTAATCAAGGCGAAGGGAGGAGCGAGCTGAAAGTAGCGGCCCGCCGATTGGATGCAGTGCGTGTGAACGGGTCTAAACCGTGCTAGCGCTCGAATGTTTTGTACGCGAGAACCATAACACTGCCACCAGTTTCATGATTACCGACACAAAGCGAATAGCACCGTGAAACTCAGCTCGTGGTGTCACTATTCCCAGAAGCTTTTTTTTCTCTTCTTCTGGTTTCACTGTGGCAGCAGGACAAGTTGCTTCGTTGAAGAAAACTTTTGAAACTTCAACTATTTGGATTAAAATTCTCTATCCGTGCAAGTGATTTCATTTTGGACGTAGCTATGGCACAGGATTGTGATAACGAAGTGATTACAGCAGAATTTACGCGGCATAAACACAAAGTTATATTCAGTGTTGCAAAGTGGGCTGTCTAAACGTAATTGTTCAACACTGGACTGGATTATGATTAAGTAACAACCTTGCCCTAGTCAACTATTTAAGTCGAAGATTCGTATGCCGAGACAGCTATATAGTTATAACGTTTAAAACTCAGCTTAGCCTTAGCACTAGCAATGATTTGATGAGTCGAATCTCTGTAAACGTTTTAAATACTGAAAGAATTTTCTTCTGTTTTACCACAACATCCAGACTCTAGTTATCCACTTCTACCAAGACAAATGAAAATGCTTGACCAATTATTCCAAGCGTTGGTTGCAGGATTCGATCATATTATCTCAAAACGTTATCCGTCTGTGGCCGCTTCCAGTACCCAATTAGCACCTGTGTTAATTGCTCTCCTGTGTTTATCCACCTGCACGTTAGCTTCGGAGTCGGTTCGAACGTGCGAGCCCATACGATCCACCATGTGCTCGGGTCTAGGGTACAACGTTACGGGCATGCCCAACTTGGTGGAGCACGCAGACCAAGAGGACGCCATCCTACTGTTGCAAACCTTCACTCCTCTTATCCAGTACGGTTGCTCTAGTCGCCTTAAGTTCTTCCTGTGTTCTGTTTACGTTCCCATGTGCACGGAGAAAGTTCTCACGCCGATAGGGCCGTGTCGACCGCTGTGTGAAAGTGTCCGAGATCGATGCAAGCCGGTCTTACATGAATTCGGCTACCCGTGGCCCACGGCTTTGAACTGCTCCAAGTTCCCACTGGTCAACAATCACGAGCACATGTGTATGGAGGGCCCGAAGGATGAAGAAGACACTCATACTGTACCCCCGATTCGTCGACCGAACAGGCCGGAGCCCACGATTGAGCCTGCTACAAAAGCGAACCCCAATTACTCTGGAAATCCACCTTTTCCCAACGGCAATACCAAAACTGTACCACAGTCGAATTATGAACCCTGCAAGCAGTTTGGGTACAGGAGCCCATCCAAGTACACGTTTATCAACAGAACCCATCGCTGTGCAATGCTGTGCAAAGAAAATGTTGCTTTCACAGATGACAATAAATACTTTGCCAACGTCTGGATGGCCGTGTGGGCAGGCCTCTGCTTCACCTCCACTCTCTTCACCATCCTCACTTTCCTCATCGACTCTCAGCGTTTCCGCTATCCCGAGCGGCCGATCATCCTGATGGCCATGTGCTACAACATCTACAGCATAGCCTACATCGTCCGACTCATCGCGGGGCGTGATGACATCGCCTGCGACACTGAGAGCCAGAGCAATCAGAGCATTCTCATCCAGGAGGGCCTGGAGAACACCGACTGCGCCATTGTGTTCCTACTTCTCTACTTCTTCGGCACCGCAAGTGCTCTATGGTGGGTCGTGCTCACCTTCACATGGTTTCTGGCGGCAGGGCTGAAATGGAGCCACGAGGCCATACAAGTCCACAGCAGCTACTTCCACCTGGTTGCCTGGGCGATACCTGCCATCCAAACCATTGTCATCCTCGTTATGAGAGACGTGGATGCCGACGAGCTCACTGGGATCTGCTACGTCGGCAACCAACACACGAGAACTCTAATGGGTTTCGCCATCGCCCCGTTGATGGTCTACCTCATCGTCGGGGTCTCTTTCCTAGTAGCGGGTTTTGTGTCACTTTTCCTATCTGCAAAGAAATCCACGGGGTCCTCGGAGAAGACCACCGGCAGTGGTGGGACTCCAGCACGGGAGGAGAAAATCGAAGCACTCATGGTTAGGATCGGTATCTTCTCAGTATTGTACACTGTACCAGCAGCGTGTGTGATAGGGTGTTTGTTGTACGAGTATTTTTCCAGAGGATCGTGGTATTCTGTTTCATCCAACGCATCGCCGAACGTGGAGATTTTCATGCTCAAACTTTTCATGTCTCTGGTGGTAGGGATAACCAGCGGACTTTGGGTCTGGTCCACGAAAACTCTTGGCTCATGGAGGACACAAATAAAGAAAGTTTTTCAGCCCCGACGAGACAGAAAAGGTATTGAGTATATAGTTCCAGTGCACCAGTATCATCAGGTGCCGGCAAAAGTGGGCAGTGCGTCGTCCTCCTCTAGGGCTATTCGATCAGAAAAATCCAAGCGGGGAAAATCAGACAGTGAAACTATTGTTTAAGCTACTGTGTAAGTTTGGGACAAGGGTAGTGTTTGTAGATACTGTAATTATTTAAACTGTGAATACTTTGCATCAAACGAACAGTCAGGGATATAAATGTACAGTAGTATAAATATATATATATTTAATGTTTTGAAAGTATTTCCCCCCAATGCAGATCACAGCCAACACCAATGATATTTAAAAGGCAAAGCAAAAAAAGCTCTGCTTTCCTGAGCATAACACAAGAGGTCATGTTTTCCACCTTTAAACCCATGAAGCAACACAACTGTCTAGCAGCGAGACAAATCGTGCTGGGAAATTTACATAGGGCACAGCACACTCCCGCATTGTATTCAGCACACTCCTGTATTGTATTCATTGTGCATGCTGTCTTTCAGACATTCAGTTTGTCAGATAGTGTTTTATGACTATACCTTATTCGCACTCGCCACACATGCTTGTGTACTTGCATACACTTGAGGGACCATAATTAAAAGTTGTCCTACTAAAGTAGATCTACCCACCTTAGCGGCAGCGAGCCATTCAGTCAGGATTTATCGGTACTTTGACGTTAAGTATACTGCATGGACCAAAAGCACACATCCGTCTTAGTGTTCATAGAGCTATCATGTAAATAGTACCACTCTAGCCATCTCCAACCCCCCCCCCCCCCACTTGTCTAAAGCCGCTTTTATTTTTACCCCATATCCCTATTATCTATCATCTATAAAACTTAGCACAAAGCACAACTGCTCCCTAAGCCACCGCCGAGGTCGACTTCGTTTGGCATGTTTATTTTGGAAGATCGTCAAGGCAAGCGATTCATCAAACTCTTTAAAGGCATAATGTTATCACACCGCTGACTTTTTGGCCGTCTCATGTTTCTCAGCCTAGATCTAGATCCCAAACCATGTGCCTCGCTTTTATGGGGGATCTAAATACTGTGTGAGACAGTTCCTTGCCTACTGCAACTCTTGGGAAAAAATGAACTGCACAGATAATGAATGGCTGTTCCCTTGTGCGGTATGGGGGGGGGGGGAAGAGAGAGATTCCCTAGGTCTTGGCCGGGACTGTGGAGCTGTATATACATTAATTATAAAAATACTGTTAGAAACTTAGTATACTGTGTGGGACAGTTCCTTGCCTACTGCAACTCTTGGGAAAAAATGAACTGCACAGATAATGAAGGGCTGTTCCCTTGTGCGGTATGGGGGGGGGGGGAAGAGAGAGATTCCCTAGGTCTTGGCCGGGACTGTGGAGCTGTATATACATTAATTATAAAAATACTGTTAGAAACTTAGTTCATTGGGAAAGTTCTTGTAGTGACCTTGATTGTAGAATATTTTTCGCTGAACAGGACAGGTTATCTTATGCCAATGCTTGTGTCCAGCGCAGTTGGTTAACTGTCATCAAAGATTTCATTTGAATGAAAATTGTGTTTTTGTGGGTCAGTTTCTATACCTAACATTATTCGAAATGAATTTACTTAAATGTATCAGGGATGTAAGTTGTTTAAGTTCTGTATATGAGCAGATGTGGTTCACTTGTTTGTGTGGTAAATGATCAGCAAGAGGAAAGCGTCCCTTGTTTTCTTTTTACAATATCTATCAAGACTTTACTCATGAGCTAGAACAGTATTTTTCTACCAAACCCGGTTTGTTTAGCAGTATATCAACGTGTTGCTAGTAGTTAGTCTATCGACATGTTACTGGTCTGTCTTAAAGCCGTGCCACGCACCAAGTTAACAGCTGGATCATGACGAATCAGTTCGTCATGGGTACACAAAAACACGCTGGCATTATCATAGGGCTCTTAAACCACCCCATTCTGGATATACACGTTATCAAACTATGTCATTTATCCGCTCTATTCTCTACCTTCTCTTAGTGATTCCCAAAAGGCCAATTTTTAAACTTGACTCAGCAACAGGCAGCTAAAAAATTGTAAATGGTCGGGAAGCCATGATACTCCCTGTTCAACTGTAGAAAGCCGTAGTTCTGACCGCGCCCCCCCCCCCCCCCCCCCCCCCCCCCCCCCCCCCCCCCCCCCCCCCCCCCCCCCC